CCGAGCCCACCTGAGGAGCACGCCAATCATTTTGGACAAAATCATAGAATGCATGCGCAGTGTGGCACATTTATGGCATAGCAGTCGTATCTGGCCGTATCTACTTCGTAACTTGGTAGTCTAGATAATCCGATGAAATCATCATGAAATCATCATGAAATCATCATGAATCATGTAATATATGTAACCATGTATCATTTGAATATATTTGAATCATCTAGGTACGAAGAGACAGGCTTCAGCATTGTCTCCCCAAGTCTCAGGAGCTGCACCAAAGCCAACATGGGATGGCCTCCACGGATGCCTGGAGCAGGCGAAGTCGGACCTTGCCCACGTCTCCGAACACCTCATACCATTTTTAATGGGTAAATCCACTATAAATGGCCATTTTCAATAGCTATGTTAGTTTACCAGAGGGTTTTTCTCAACATATTTACTGAGGATTGGGAACCCAATGGAACTGATGGAACCCCACTTCTTGATCTTCTTGGAACTTGACAGTTGGTTCATGATGACAGTCACTTGATGGTGGTGAACCTTGCTCAACTTCAGTTAGGAATTGGAAGGAGTAGGAATCTACTGTAGTTTACAATCTTGCAACCATTATTATTGTTTAATGATATTCAAATTCAATCTGTAAATTGCAAGTGTGTTATCAGCTATTTCCTTCGCAGTGGGTCGAGCATTGCCACCCATAAGATATTTCTTCTCCATGGTGCCGGACTGATGTTGGACAACATCAGGAAAGAATATATGCTAGATTGAACTTCCTGTGAAAAGTGAGCCACATGACGAGAAACAAATATGAGTGTTTAGGAATTATCAGCCGGATATGTATTTCCCTCGTTTTGCGCCAAAGCAACATGTCTATGTAATTCCTCATGTGTTTTTCCTCTTCTTTGAATCTTTTGAGGAAAGCGGGCACGCGAACCTTGTCTTCCACAATGACAGTTGGCAAGCGATCTGAGATTGGACAACTTGGGCAACTTGTCTTCACGACCAAGTCCAAAACAGCCACAAGTTCTTGAGGCACTACCAGTCAACATACGAAATTATTCACTGCGTGCTGCACCCAACTGGTTCTTTCACATGAAGTGCATCACAATTGACTCATGGTCTCAACATGATGGTTGACCTCAACTTGATGGATGTTGATTGCAATTGTGCCATGGTTTTTGTGTTTGACCAATTTTTTTTTGGTGTTTTGCCAGCGACCGGTTGATACCGGTTGCCCCAAGGCGAGTCATCCATCCAAAGCGCTTCGCGTATGGTCGTTCTCATGGCAACTTCTTTCAGAGCTCGCCAGGCGCAGGGCGCCGTTGCCAAATGGCATTAGAATTGTATTATTAGATAGTATTTAGATTGTAATACATAAATACTATTACAATAGGATAGTATATATATTATAATATATTATCTAAATACTACATTATTAGATATTAGATAGTATTAGGATATATTGATAATATAACGATATACATATATATATAATATGTATATATATAGATATAGATATTGAATATTATTAGGCAGCTTCAGTTGCGCATGTTATACACATGTTCCAGGGCTCTACAGATCTCAACAGAGCTTTACGGTAGTCATTGTTGCGTAAGATGACACCTACACCTACATTTGAGACCAAGCTGGAGACATGGTCGATCCTCCTATAAACAATCACAGGGAACAGTCAGAATCAGTAGCACAAGCATTCAGGAGAATCCCTGTGCTTTAAGCGTCTATAATAGTTTCGGTTATCAAGGATTATGAATTCTCTTTTTATGTGAACTACTGACAATCCACTTTATCAGAGATTATCAGCATAAACCTGTACTGTCAGATTGGATATCAATTGGCTCACAGGACGATACTTAGCCATTGGTAACGGTTACAAGGAATAGTGGGACCCTGCTATATCCAGGAGTCATTCAACGCATTGTCAATAGCCAAAAATCCTTCTCGACCAAAATTATAGGGCATTGATCAGTGAAGCAAGGTTCCGACATGTTCCGACGAGGCAAATACAGTTGCACCTCGGCTTGGGCAGGTCTTCTACCATACCGCGATCTCACGATATGGGAGCAGCATAAAGCCATCACGTGGGGGTCCTAAATTGCGAAGGAATGCGAAGGGATCTTTGGGCCTGGTGTTTTGGGCACTCAAAGCTTCTCAGATCGTGTAGAGTCTGCGATGCTTCAGGGGTCTCCACCTATGTTATCAAGTCAGTAAATGCAATGGTTAAGAAGTATAAGATAATATAAGAAGTGTCAAGATCTCAGTTTTCAGTTGTGTCCATTGCAATATAAACATGCATTTAAAGTTGTTAAGGAGTGTAATGGAGGAGTGTGTGGAATGGAGGTTACATGAAGTTCTTCCGTATAATCGGCCTCTTGGACCCCAGTTGCATGACTATTATATATATATATATCCCAGACTATATATTGAATATAAATGAATATAATATACATATATATATATAATTATATATACACATGTATATACACTATACACACGCTCATGCACATACCTAAATACACACAACCCGGTGTTCACCCCTTATTGAAATCTTGGCTTTGCTCTGGACACAGTGGACTCATCTTGATCCTAGCCTTGAATAGCTAAGAATCTGATGGAGTGTTACTGTATATGGCTGCTTGAAAGTCTACAAGGGACACAATGGCAGTCAATACATGATGCAGATTGGACGGGGTCTTAGGACGTCTTGGGTATGTGCTCAGTCAGTCGTTGTGCCCCATATGCAGTTGCACCTAAAGGCCTGAGCGAAGTTGGAGTGAATCTGCTGCTTGGCTGCAAATTTGCGTGCAACATTAGCACATTTTGTCGGTTTGATTCTGTTTGCACTATCACGTAGGGGTGCTATGCAAAAATGTGTGTCAGATGCTAAGTCTTTCAGCAACCAAGTGTGCACTGAAACGTGCCCAGTCCTTGATGTTTGGTGCACCATTAACGGTCATTAACACCATTAACACATTGTACAACCTGCAAATCTATGTTGGGCATGCTTTGTCCACTCAGAAGTTGGACGTGCAGCGGCGCAAAACCAAGGCGATGAGATGCCTTTCTCCTGTTGGACAGTGTTTAGCCGGACTTCCCAAGTGACAGAGGAACCCGAGAATCATGCTGCAGCATGCTGGGTAGACAGGGGGGGTTGCCCGAATCTCAGGGCTGTCTTGATGAACTCCAAGATGTTCATCATTGAGTTCGTTAAGATGTAGGAAATTGTTTTATTCAAAAATGTGTGTTTCGCTGTGGTGGCAAGCCTATGTTTATCATTGTGCATCGTTTTCTTTTGATCCTCATATTATGGATTTGTTCAAGATGTTCATCAAGTTGCACATCAAGTCAACTTCCTTTTTTCAAAAATATATGTTGAAAACAACCCTTACAAGGGATCGCGCAGGTTTTTCGTCTTGAATTTCGTCACTTTTCAGAGAACCAGGTGGTATCTACATAGGCCGTGTTGGGATGAATTTTGTCTTTGACAAAAGCCATGTAGCGCACAAAGGCTTCCATCACCATTTCAATCCCAAGGTTTTCATGAATGTACAAAGCGGATAAGCCATCGACGTGTGCGGAATGTACAAAATGGACCGGAGATGATAAATCATCACAAGAAAAAATGGGAAGGGGCGCATGTATGTTGTAAGACATGATGACGTATGATAAGTTAAGTTAAGTGTAAGACGGAAGACGCGACGACGTACTATACATGAGGACGTAGTATACATGAGCGTAGAGCAACGTGATCTATGTGAAAGTACATGTAAGACGTTGTGACGTAGTGTATGTAAGACATTGGAGCGCAGAGCAACGTGAGCTATGTGAAAGTACATTTAAGGCGTTCTGACGTAGTGTATGGAAAACATGAGAGCATAGAGCATGTGACAAAGTAGAAACGAAGTACTTACAGCAAGACAAGAGAGAGGTCGACGTGAATGCGTGCTACAGGAAAACGCACATACAGACGTTATTGCCCCAACCAACCAAGAGGCAAGACAAGAGAGAGGTCGACATGAATGCGTGCAAAACAAGATCAAGTTCGGGCAAACCCCCCCGGTCTACCCTACATGCTGCAACTCTTCTTGAAGCAGGATTCGACAGTGACAAACAGGGGGTTCCTGAAATGGGGGTAGCTCAAAATGGATGGTTTACAATGGAAAATTCTAATAAAATGGCTGATTTGGGGGTACCCCCATTTCCGGAAACCTCCATGCACCATATACATATGATACATTATGATACTCACTTATTAGATATGATTGCAACTTGGTCATGTTGTAGACCCAAAATCCGCATGGCTTGATGAGGCTTCTGGGTTCCCGCAACATCCCCTGGAGGGGGGCGGTGGGACACTCAGCATGGCAGCGCCACATGCACTTTCTTCGCGACCCATAGTTTGGCATATTTGAACTGCAATGATATCAGAAGATCAGAAGATGTTTCCAAACTCGGGGTTGCCTTGAATTAGTTAAGTAGGCTGCAGGGAGATGTGGTTTGCCATCTCAACAGCTGAATCAAGATCAACTAATACTAACTGTTTGGGCTCCATGTTAAAGACGGTTGTTTAATATTTGCTTAGCGGTATTCGTTTGATTTCGTTTGTCAATGTGTTGGATGACATGATGACATGCCAAATTTTGGTACCAGTTGTCTTTAGATGGCACTCTGCCTCGCAGCCTCTTGGAGTCCAAGCTGAGAACAAAATGGCGCCAAAGGATCAGAAAGATTCGAAAGGATCAATGAGGTGCACCATGGTGAGCCCCACCGTGAGGATCTTGCAGGATCTTGCACGATCTTGCAGAAGAGCATGATACTTCAAAATGATTCGAAATGGAACATAGATGATATAGATGAACATAGTACAGTCGGGCAACAGATCCTGAAAGTACAAAGTTTCACACAGAAGATATTGATTGGCCGTCAAGGCATGTCAAGGCAGTCAAGGTCAACTCACACTGTTGGACGGGGCAGCTCCAGGGCTAAGTGTTGATTTCGCTCTGGCCGTTCGCTCATGTGTTTTTTGCGCTTGCGTCGAAAGTTGTTGGCTGCAGCCGGTCAAAAACAAAGTGACTCAGCTGAAACTTACAGACCCAAGTGCTAGTTCAATCCATTTCGCACTTCCAATGGAAAGTGTCTACAGTATTCAAACTCCTGTTCACCTGCAGCTTGGACAACGCCCCTATTTGGTTCGGGTGTTCCAAACTGGCGGACGGTGCAGCTTTATGAAAGATTATTCATCCAAAGCAATTCGTGCTTACTTCTTGCACTGCAAGTCTACCCTCTTCAGGTAGGGAACAATACAATGTTACAATATGTTACAGATGAGTGCCATCATGCAGCCATGCTCAGGGCTGCAAACCCAAAAGGTGCGATGAACGGCCTCTTGCCACTCCTCTTGTTGATCACTTCAGGAGGAGTCGCACCTTGGCACATCAAGATGCTTCGAAATGTGGTTTTATGATCAAATAAAGTCAAAGACATAGTCACCAGCTGGCGTGTATGGTACCGCATGTCACACGCACTCTCAAGAACTTAAAGCCAAAGAAGCAGATTGCAAACGCATCGACACACGAAAGTAAAAATTGCAGAACGATATTTGTAGGGAATTGAATTAAAGGTGCTACAGGCATTCTCAATGTTGCTCCTTGTCTCAGCTCTTTGATTCCAGTTCTGAACGTATCAGTGAATCATGGACCTCAGAACCTCAGTCTTTGTGAGCGGGTCAGCCCCAAAGCACCTAGGACATTGTTGCCATGAGACGGCAAGTTTATGGCATTGCCCTTTTGGATGACCCACACGCGTATCATTTTGTTTTGTTTGGAAAGCAGGATAGCAGACTCCCAGATGAACCTACAGTATAGATTTCTTGAAACTCAGATGTCATAGGGATGTTGCTAATGCTAAAGCAACCCGACAGCGTTGGTGCGCAACAGCAGTTTTTCCTTGCTTAGGTTTGGCTGTATCAGTTTCATCCCAGCCTCGTGGCTTGCGAGCATGAGAGACTTGGAATGACTTGGACTTGTTTTCTCACGTTTTCTTGCAGTGTTGAACGATGTTGAACGTGTTTGAACACTTTGTGCAGACAATTCGGAGCGTTTGCCATTCATAGTTCGTTTTGGCTCTGCTGTCCAGCCGTGTCGCAGCAGTTCAGGAAAAGTGCCGTTGCACTACCTCATGACGTTTCCAATTCCCACGATGGCTGGATGTCTAAAGACGAGGCCTAAAGTTTATTCGAAGCCACAGTTTGATGTTCGCTGAATTACTTTTGTGGATTTTGTGGACTTTCGCTGAGCAGTCTTGCATGGTTGAACTTCAACGGCAAGGCAGAATCGCTGCGTAATGAGAACAAGCAGTTCAGCCTGCAGCTGAAGCAGGCACTGCCACAGAGTTGTGACCGATTCACTGCAAAAAACATGAACCTTCCGTTTGGTTAGGAAGAAATCGATGGCCAGTGTGCCAGGTTCCTTTGTTTCAGACATTTTCAGACTATATCCCATAAAATGGAACATCTTCCCTCGTTTGATCTCATCGTGCCATAGGGACTTTGAACCTTTGCTACTGAGCTGAGTCACAGCAAAGAAAACGCATGTTGCATACCCCGTGCAAGTATGTGCAAGTCGCAGGCCAAAGAAGAATTACAAAGCTTGGAAACTTACCTGACTTACCTGGTGAGATCCGTGAGGTGGTGAAGAGTTTTTGGAGTTTCTCTATGTTTCCCTGTACTTTGCGATAGCTCAAAGCTGATTTAACTGGCAGCTCGAAGTCCAAATCCATCCTGAAACAAGCAACTTTGCAGGGATTCACTGCTTTTGCAGGTTCTTGAGCATTCTTGAGTTGCATCTGCATTTCAGTTCATAGGCATTGCAAAGGCATTGCGTAGGAGCCCCTTGAATCAATCGCCTAGGAGAAGTCTCTTGCGGATGCAAACTCAAAGCTTGTTAATGCACAGGCTTGCAACCTGTGTGCAAAGTTCAACAGGTAGCTGTTATCTTGCATACATTGGTTCCGTCACCAACCAGTGGTTCACTGAACACATCCCTAAACCTTCATGAGTCAATCATGAGTCGTGGAATCGGCTGAACTCTTACCATCCGTCACTGAATTGTGATATAGCTGTGCTTTGAGTATCCTAGTCCTTACATTTCCTTACGATAGCGAAGCCAACTCCACGAGGTCCACATTGAGACGTAGAGACACAGTGTGACACGCACAGGTGGAATTGGATCGGACCAGGGAAGTTTTACCCTTGGACCCCAACGACACCTGTGGTGCCCCAAGCGCACGCCAAGGCGCAGGGAAACCGGCCGTTGAAGCAACACAAAGCGGAGAAGAGACACGATGTGAGTAGGGTACCCATTGTTTTGGGCGGTTTTGGGTCAAGGTCTATATAGATTTTGATGAATGTCGTGTCTTCTTTTCGTATTTTTCGTATCCTTCTCCCTGCCGTGTCTTCCCTTTGACCTCCTTTGCTGCCTCTCCCCTCTCTTTCTATCTCTGTTTGTAGAGCTTTACCACCGACGATGTAAAGATCTGTAAAGGTCGGATGTCAAAGACGCTGTTTGTCCCTGTTCTTGGCATGCGCACGCCACCTTTTTACAGACATAGGACGTAAGATGACGTAAGTAAGAGCATATCACTTTCGTGTTTGGTTGACTTACCATCCCTGCTGTATTTTTGCCCCCAGCTGTGAAAGCATTGTTTTCCCATGTTTTCCCCACAGATTTTATGTCAGGTTGCACC